AGCCAAAGAGAACCCAGCAGGTGGTGTGTGTTGGACAGATCGGTCCAGAAACTGGGCGTACCCACAAGAGCGTGGCTACCCTGTTGTAACTTACTTTATTTCAGATTCTGGTTCTCTGGTCTGTAGCACTGGGTGAAGCTGGGGCTTCCTGGTGTGTGGGGGGGGGGGCGGTTGGGGGGAGACCCCTGAGATCCCTGGAGGTCTTTGGGCCTGTCACTCCCAGGACAGACACAACAGAAGGCTCTTCCTCAACAACCACCCCCTGCCTCACAGGTATCATTATTGGATGTGAGCCTCAGGGCGGGTCCATGGGAGGGGAGTATTGCTGCCCCCATTTTGTTGATGGGAAAACTGAGGAGTATCGAGTTTAAATAACTTCCTCAGGTCATATAGCGAGAACATAGCAGACAGGAACATGATACAGGCTTCAAGTGGCTTTAAAGCTACCTGGGAGGTGGGGTGGTCTGGAGGCGAGCTGCAGGGCTCTGTCCTCAGCCCTGTCCTGGTCAATGCTTTTATTAGTAGCCTGAGTGAGGACACTGCAGCTAAGGTAGATTTTCACACAGAGCCCTGATGTGATTCACCTTCTGCCCATTCCCAGGTCTGGGGATCAGTGCATCGCCATCTTCCACTGGTCACCCTTGGTCCAGGGATGTGTGTGACCCAATTTGGTCCAGTCAGGTTAAAGGGAAGGTTGTTGGAAGAGAGGTTCCTTTCCCTTCTGTCTGTCTCTCTGTCTCTGTTTCTCTCATTTGTCCTCTCCTTCTCCCTGGACATGAACAAGGAAGCACATGCCCACAGCGGCCACCTGCAGGCTTCCAGAGACAACACTGTGATGTTAACCTCATGGGTGGGGAGTGGAGAGCAGGAAGAGTCCTGACCACGACAATAAGGAGCAGCCGTACCTCTAGCCTGCCCGATCTTGGGGCTGATCGCTGCCACTGAAGATCTTAATTTTCCTTACGGTTAAAACCATTTTGAATTAAGTTTTTCTGTGACTTGTGGCTGTCGTTATCCAAAGCCCAGGCAGCCAAAGCAGTAATGGCCCATGTCAGGGGTCTTGTTAATGGGCTCACTTCATGCCACCCTGGACAGACTGGACCAATCCTCTGAGCAGCGCCTGGGTGTCTTTGGCCCACCGTCCCTAGAAATACTCCCTAATGGGGCCTCACAGAATTGCCCTCAGCCTGTTTGGGTGATTGGTCTAGGCCCGGACGTGCGACTTCTCCATGCTGAACTATTGCAGAAAAGAACATGTTTTGAGACAGCAGTTGGGACTCTAACGCTCTCATTCCTGGACGTCTAGTTTTGTGACATTGATTGAACCATAGTTATGTTGTTTGTGTTGGAGGAGATCAATTCTGCATTTTTTCAGAACATACGTGAGTTTTCCTGTCAAGGGATATGGAAACGAAGCAAGACCTTTGACTGGCCAGAGCTGAGCCAGGCTGAGTGGACTGGGGGGTAGCTTTGAGGAGTACTGCCTTTCAGAGGTGACAGCCTGTCCCAACTCTGCCCCATTTGTGGAGAGGGGTGGCTATGCCAGTGGGCAGAGGGAGGCAAGATGGTAGTGCTGGCCTGGGTTGGTCACCCCCAGTAATCACAGATGAGAGACATGGGCTGTCCGAACCCCACCATGCCCGCGGCTGCCTCAGTTGCTGTCATGAAGGATGACAGGCTCTGTGTTTTCTCATTCTTCCCCTTCCTCCTTCATAGTTTTAAAAGCTCTTCTGTAGCCTTAATTAGCAAGGGTGAGATCATATTAATTAATCTCATGAAGAGTAATGATGGAGACCTCATTTGACCTCTATAACCGTCTCCCCTTTCCTGATTTTCACGGAGGCAGGGCAGGAGCCAAGAGCTGGCCTTCGAACCAGGCAGACCTTGGCTCAAATCCTAGATACATGACTTTTACATTTATGACCTTGGGTATGTCTGGGGTCAGTGTCCCCATATGTAAAATGGGCTCATAGCATCTCCCTAGCACAGCTGCAGTGAGGAGTGAAGGAGCTGGGGATGGATGGTGGTTTTCATGGTGGTGGTCACCAGAATGATGTTTTGGGGTTTTGTTGTTGTTGTTGTTGTTTTTAAGATTTTATTTATTTATTTGACAGACAGAGATCACAAGTAGGCAGAGAGGCAGGCAGAGAGAGAGGAAGGGAAGCAGGCTCCCCGCTGAGCAGAGAGCCCGATGTGGGACTCGGTCCCAGGACCCTGGGATCATGACCTGAGCCCAAGGCAGAGGCCTCAACCCACTGAGCCACCCAGGTACCCCAATGTTTTGTTTTGACACCAATTCTCCACCACCAACTGGTGTCCCACAATGCAATTCAGTTCTGACACTGTCCACCTGGAGTCCGTGTCAGATCCCAGACAAGCTAAGGGGCTCAGTCCTATAAGACTTTCCCACTTCGGATCCCAGTCAAAAGTCCTGGGCTACCCACACTTCTGACCAACTGGCTATAAACCAAGGGTTCTCATGACCGCCCTCTGCCCCAGGTTGGATAGTTTGATAGAATGGCACAACAGAGCTCAGGAAAACACTTTACTTACATTTACAGGTTTATTATAAAGGATACAAATGAACGTCCTGATGAAGAGGTATATTGGGTGAGTCCAGAAGGGTCCCATGCCCAGGAGCTTTATGTTCCTGTGGAGCTGGGATGGGCCCCCCTCCTGACTCATGGAGCACTTCCAACCCGGAAGTTCCAGGTTGGAAGTGCTCCAAATCTCATTGTTCGAGTTTTTATAACCCCATCTTCAGCTCTTCTACTCTTCCTGGGGGTTGGAATATGGGGCTAAATGTTCTTATCCTCTCTTCACTTGTCTTTCCAGTGACCAGCTCCCGTTCTGAAGTTTTCTGGGGTTCCCCTGCATCATCTCATCAGCATAAACACAGATGTGCTCAAAGGGGCTCTTTATGAATCTCTCAGGAAATTCCAAAGGTTTTAGGAGCTCTGCGCCAGGGTCAGGGGACTGTGACCAAATATGTTTCTTATTAGACCACATCATCATCATCTCGGAGGGAGACCCTGTCATTGCTGTGTCAGATTAAAATGGCCCCTGCGTTTGCTGTAAACCTGTGACTGGCCTGCACTGTCACCACCACCACGGGGGAGGCAGGTGCTCCAGATTCCCCCAAGAGCTGAACCATGTGGTAGAGCAGAATCACAGAAGGTTCCCGAGGACTGAGAGGAAGCCAACCCTTTCTCTCTGTGGGGTTCATCACCCGATTGCTGCCCTCTGGCTTCCTGCTTCCCTCCCCCTCTCTCACTCACCTCCACCCTGACTCTGTCCCCTCTGTGCCCTTGGCCTGGACAGTTGCCCCAACCAGAGTATGTTACCTGGAGCTGATTTCTAGATTCCCAGGCTGGCACCTGCCTCTCCAGGGGTGTTCCCAGGCTTCCTGCACTAGACCAGCCATTCTGCAAAGGTGGGATCTGGGTCTCCCTGCTGGGTCTTCCACACACCAGGCTCTCTCAGGAACTGCATTTCCTTCGCGTCCTGAGAGTTAGCTCCTGTGTGATTCATCATCCTCCTTGGGGGGTCCCGGAGTCCTCCCTCTCCTGTGACCCTGACACTACCTGGGCACTTAAGATCACTCAAACCGTGGGCCCCACAACCCAGGAGGATCTGGTAGACCTTCCCAGGATTTGGGCAAATCCCAGGCAGCTGACTGCTGCTTTGCCTGCCTCAATTTACCCCACACTAGACCTGAACTCAGAGCTCAGCCCTTTCCCCAAGGCCAGCAAGCATTTCACAAGGGTGGCCACTTGGCTGGGGAGAGGAGGGGTTGGGGAGGGCACATCTCACACCCTCAGCCTCCTGCTGTTCCCTGCTTCACTTCTCTCTTCCTCTCCTCTCTCTCCTCCCCCTCCCACAGCAGCAAATGGATTTTTCCTCTTGCCCCAAGCAAAGCAAGTCTTCCCACACCCAGACCTCTGGAGATCTCACCTTCTGTCATTAGCACTCCTCAAGGTATTGTATCAAACCAAATTTCCTCCCTATGAGGAAAAAAGGTGCATCTCCTCCAGCTCACCCACCCTGTGACAGGCACTCCCTGTTGTCCCCAACCACACCCTCTCTCTCATCCACTTCCTAGCACATCCCAACCTTTTCCACACCACCTCCCCCTTCACCTCCCCCTTTCCTGTCTCTCTCCCTACAGCAAGATCCTCCCTCTCGCACCCAAGAGGACTCTGCCACTTCTCTTTTTAGGCCTCTCCGTTCTGGGTTCTGGACCTCTTTGCGTTTCCTGCCCACTGCAGATAACTTCCTCAAGTAGGTCAGGGCGGGGGCGGATCCCTGTTTCTGTTCAATTCCTGACTTGCAGGCTGCAACTCCTTCCTTCTGAAGGGAACTCCTGGAAGCAGGTGAGTGGGATATATTATTATGAGAATCCTGTGACACTCTGAAATGTCATTTACATGTGTGCACGTAGGGGGTGGGAGGCAGAGCTCCTCAGAATTGACCCCACATCACGCTTGAGAATTCCCACTCGAAGCATCCAGTGGAAACCAAGCCTGTGAGGGGAATGCCCTCCTCCCCGCTTGATTTTGATTCCGGCCTCCCCGCAGGGTGGGAGAGATGTCCACTCCGGAGCTGTCTAGGTGGTCATTAAAGCATGTTTAGCTCCAAGGAAGGGAGGGAGCCCTGCTGCAGCACTGGCTGCTTAAACAAGAAGTGGAGTCCCATGTGGATTTCCCCAGTACACGGATGGTCAGCACTGGGAAGCCCAGTGGCCTCAGGCCCGAGTTCGGTGGAAAGCCATGCTGGCCTGAGGCGTGAGCCAGCAGCTCCTGGGGTGCAGGGCGAGCTGGCTGGAGGAGCAGAGCAGAAGCTCCCTCTCTGGCCAGGGGCCAGCAATGGGCTGACTGGCACTGATGGCCACCAAGGACTGCCCCCAGCACAAGGTCCCCTGGGCCAAGCCGCCTGACTGCTGGGCCTGCGGGGCAGGCAGACCCTGAGCCGCACCCCTCACAGGCTGGGTGTCCTCGCAGGTGCATGACCGTCTAGACCGCTACTGCTGCGGCTTCGAGCCCGAGCCGTCGGACCCCTGTGTGGAAGAGAGGCTCCGAGAGAAATGCCGGAACCCGGAGGAGCTGCGGTTGGTCCACATCCTGGTATGTCCCCTGTCACCCAGACTCCCGTCTTCCTGTCTCCTTCGGAAGATGCGGCTCCGGAGTTGCGGAGATCAGATGACACGGGACGTTCCCAGCCCTGTTCTTTTCAGCAGCAGGAGCCTTTGTCTGAACAATGTTTCTGGGAAGCCACCATACATAAAACTGACCCCAGTGGGCCTTTGCCGATACGGTTGAGGTGGGGCCACTCCACATCCCCTCGAGAGACTACAGGGGAATCCGAGGGCCCCTGGAAGCAGGTGTGGGAACTGTGTGTCTGGAGAGCCGCCCCCACCATCCCAGCCAATGTAGGAACTGTGGCATGGAACAGGGAGGGCAGTTTCTAAGGCCGCAGGGCTGGGCAGTGGCAGTGACAGGGCTCTCTCCTCCGGCCTATAGCTCACAGACTCGTGATAATCTGAGGAACCCTGGGCTGCCTCCTGTGAAAAGTAGAGCCCAGGGTGGGAAGTGGTGCGCCGAGGCCGTCAGAGACAGGGACAGGAATAACAGAGCAGCCACTTCTGCCCAAGGAGCAAGGGGCCACCCTCAGGAAGGGCTACTCTATCTTCTCCCCCAGTGACCCTAATGTCCTCGATGTCTTCCCCTGGCCAGTTGTTTGTGGAGGGTAGCTGTCAGCACGGTGTCCGGGCTCAGCGTCAGGCAGGCCACAGCAGCCCAGAGGCTTGGGCTGCCTTGTGAAACCATTGGGTGGTAGGAAATCTCCAACTCCTGTCCTTAGAGCCCGCTCCCCTCTTCCCTGGTAAAAGGCACTCACATGGGGAGAGGTAAGGCTTTTATAACTATCATTCACACTGGAGGGGCAGCCATTTCACAGATTCCCTAGGACAGCAGATTTTGGAGGAAGGAGTCATCAGGCTCCAAAAAATAGATGATCCCTGATGAAGAGAGACGGGTGAGGGAGAAGAGACAGAGAGAGGGAAATCTAGGGTCCTGGAGGCAAAAGTTCATAAGTTAAGCCGAGGGTGATGGGGAGAATTATGGGAAAATACCATGGAATCCTGTAGAATGTCTAGGAATGGGGCAGATGGGGGTGGGGGAAGGGAAGACCCGGCCTCTCCTTCCCACCCACACCATATTTTTAAAGTGCTAAGGTATTCCCTTTTGCTGGTTTTAGTTTTCAAAGGGATTAGGAGTCGCTAAACTCTTCTCTGGGAATAGATGGAGTATGGCGCCCATGGCTGGAAGGTGTGTGCGTTCTTGGTGACACTCAGGGGAATACGCAGGCACAGAGCAGCCACCTCACCAGAATGGGTGAGGGTGTTTGAGCATGCGCGTACTCAATATGCCCTGAAGCCACAACCTGATGGTGGGCTCCCTCCGCACCTGCCGGTTCTCACCCGTGCTCCTCACCCCCTCAGCCACCAGAGCAGGAATCAGTCCCTCTGCCTTCCAGTTTCTCAGGGTGTGTCTTCACACTACTGGTCCAGGTTGGACCTAACCAGCTACTTAGCTGTGTGACTGTGTGCAAATTACTTAACTTCTCTGTGCCCCTGATTCTGTGAAATAGAGCTGATGCTAAAGGCTCCCTTCTAAGGTTGCTGGGAGGGTTCATTGAGACGGTGCCTGGAAGCACTGAGCACGGCACTACCATAAAGTCACATTACAGCTCAGCGCCGGGGAACCTTCCGGGCAGGTAGCAGGGTGCATTGTGGGATTGTCAGCTCAGGGGCTCCCAAGACCCTGAACACTGACAGAAGCCATGGGTACCAGCTAGGCTGCAACCTCACCCACCCCTGTCCCTGTCTGTCTTCTTCCCTGAGGTCCGAAGCAGTGATCCATCTCATCTGGTCTACATCGATAACGCTGGCAACCTTCAGCATCCCGAGGACAAGCTGAACTTCCGGCTGCTGGAGGGCATCTCTGGGTGAGGGTCTGCGGGATTGGTTGGAAGTTTGGAGGCGGAGGCCCAATAGCCCTGTTGTGGACCGTGGGACCTTGACCATGGTCCTGAGTGCTCTGCAGCCTATTAGACAAAAGCTGCTGGATCTGAGCCCCAGGAGGAGGTGGGGAGCTGGGAGGACACAGTCAGCAGGCACCCCCATATCCAGAGGGCCTCCTTGTCCCAGAGGAGGAGCCAGCCTGGGGAGCCCGCCTTCCCTGCTCACTCACTGCAGGCAGCTCAGCCTTCTTCGGGCTTCTCCTGGCACTTGCCAAGCACAGCAGCTGGCATTCACCTGGGATAGCAGAGCTGGTTTCCCCAGCTTCTCTGTGGGATGGGGGACACATCCAGAAGCCCTGTCCCCTGCCTGTTTTCACAGCAGAGTTGGTAGGAGGGTTCTCTGAGGACAAGCAGCAGGCGGGCCCCAGGCATTCTGCAGGACACCTGTGCCAGGCTGGCCAGCCGTGCAATTCCTGGCCAACTGGCTTCACCAGTCCCGGACATTTTCTGAGATCACTTTTGCTTTTCCTTTCTGTCCTGGCCCGGGGGACCTGCCTTCAGGTTTCCTGAGTCTGCCGTGCAGGTTCTTGCCTCAGGGTGTCTGCAGAAGCTGCTGCTCCTGTCCCTGCGGATGGACCCCGTGTTCTGGGAGAGTCAGGGCGGGAGGCAGGGGCTAAAGCGGGTGCTCCAGACCCTGGAGCGGCGAGGCCAGGTGCTGCTGGAGCACATCCGGAAACATAACCTGACGCTCTTCAGGGACGAGGCCCCGTGAGCTTCCCCGCTGCCCAGGCAAGGCTCTTGTCCCGCTGGCAGCACCCCCTGCCCAGATGAGCATCCATCCTCATGGCCATGTTCTCTTGGGCTCCCCCAACCTGAAGACAAATTGGAAAAGCCTGAAGAAATCAGAGGATACCATGGGTGTCCCAGATGTCCCACCTGCTCAGGACGGTGAAGGTGGTGCGGGGTGTGGGGGTTTCCATCTTACTGCCCTCCTTTCAGCCTTTTTGGCTCTGGCTGTTTACTCCCTTGCACCAATAAATATGTTCAAGAATGTTCTAAAAACTGCTCCAGATACTATAAAATTGTGCCTCCCACATGCATATGGAGGGTGGACGCATGCGCACGTGTGTGTGTGTGTGTGTGTGTGTGAAGTTTCCCTCTGAAGACACCGAGCCAGAAGCTTGTCAGTAGGCAAGGCCCGAAGCTGCTAGCAAGCCCTTCTATGTCCTGATGTGAAGAGGTGTGCTCAGCACAGGAAGGCAGACGTATAAACAGTGTGTGGCCCTGCCCGGCTTGCCCAGTGCACATCGACCACCCAGGGCACGGCAGGGACACGGCCCAGCGCTCTGCTCAGCCCACTCAGCAGAGACCCGTCTCCAGCACAGCCCTCAGCATGGGCCTCTTCCTCCCTCGGGGGTGGAAGAAGGTTGGGGGAGGCTCCAAGCCCAGTTCTGCCTGCCTCCTCAGAACTCCAGGGCTGAGCCTCATACCTCCCGGGCTGCTTCTCAGCCAAGAGTGGCTCTGGCCGGGGCCGCAGATCTCTTCGAGGTGCTGTTCCTCCATGGGTAGCCCTGCCCTCCCACCCTTCCGCCTCTGAAGACCTTTTGAAAAGTAGGCACCCTTAAGGTTTTTTTCTCTTTTGATTTTCAGAGGACTGGACTTGAACGAGGGAGCTCTGGGTTCAGATCTGGCTGGGGCCACTTCATGGCTGGCAAATGACAAAGGTTTATCGGGCACCAGCCGTAATGACTAGTAACATTTCCTGGGCAATGACTGTGCACCAGGCACTGTGACCGTGGTTTGCCGATGGGTACGTGTGATTATTAGCATCTCCGCTGTACAGATGAGACACAGAAGGGTTAAGGAATTTGTTCAAGGGTACCCAGCTCAGAGTTGGAAGGGTCAGAATTTGAACCCAGGCAGGACTTGTCTTGAGCCCATAATCATGAAAGGGCTCCCTCTGCCCTGCCCGATCACTCTGACAGCGTCTCCTCTAGTCCTTTTGGATTCAGTGCCGCTGATGAGGCGGGGCTGATTGCCTGGAATACGAGGCTGCACACTTCGACCCCTGGGCCAAGCACGGTCGCAGTCATCTGGCTCCCTAACCATTGCTCTTTGCTCCTTAATGTCGGTTCAGGCTCTGAACTGTATCTTTCCTGCGAACCTGAGGCTTCTGCCACTTTGCATTCTTTCCAGAGAATACTGTCAGCCACAGGTGTCCCACATGCCCTCTGCCTCCCCCAGCCCTTGCCTCTGGAATAAGAAGGATGCGCCCAGCGAAGCAAACAGCTAAGGCTTTGGGAGGCAAGAGCCATGAGGGGTCTGCGGTGTGGGGGGTCTGCTCAGCTGCACAGCAGTCCTTGAGAAACCAGCGGGCCACAGGGTCTGGTAAGGCCATCCCGGTCGCCAGCCACCATGGTGGCTGACTCACCTCACCCCAGGCCCGACCCTGTTTCTTTGTACTTCATTCCAGAAGGGTTGTTCCAAGGAGAATGATGGTGTTTCCAAAGGGGAGTGGCTGGTGATAGTAACAGAGGTTCACAGCTCTATAAATGCAATTCCCAATTCCTTGGGGATTCCCAAGCCCTGAAAATCAAAATCCTTTTCCTATGTCCAGGGCCAAAACTCATGTCCCGCTCAGCTTGAATATTCATACACTATTCCTATATCGTAGAAATACCAATGTGCTTGGTTATTGTGTTTTGTAACCTCAGACCCCACCGAGAGTGTAGCATAAAACACAAATAGGGACCATGTTACCTCTCCATAGCTGAAAAATCCAGAATTCGGAATGACTTCTGGCCTCCAGGGTTTGGCTATGGAATTCCAGACCTGTAAAAACTTATTACAAACCAGGCATGGTGCTGAGGGTTTCTACAGGTGATTTCATGAATGTCTTATGACAATCCCAGCTTCATGATTGTCACTCTACAGGTAAAGAATGTCAGCTGGGGAGGGAGGGCATTGCCCGAGGCTGTACAGCTGCCCTGATCCTGGGGAGCACCACCTCGCATGAGGTGAATACAGAAGGTGGCTCGAGCTTTACTGTGTTCCTCATCGCAAACCTTTGGAGTAACTCCAGGAGGAGGGCATTACTGCTCCCATTCAACTGAACAGGAAACAGAGGCCCAGAGATGTTGAGTCACTTGCCCAAGGTCACAGAGCAGGTAGCTGGTGGAGCTGGGATTTGAACCCAGGCCCCTTTAACTCCAGAGCCCCTGCCCCCTCCCCCACTATAGCATCCTTCCTTCTTCATTCATTCACTCATTCAGATGTTCCACACAGAATATAGAATTTGGAAAGAGTCCACGTGTGCGGCACGTTGTGGTGGCCACATATCCCAGATGTTTGGAGATAATGTCGTCGGGCCATCAAGCATGTGTCCTGGCGTTCTGCTGGGTGAGCAAGGTCCCCATGGCTGAGGATATAGGAAGATTGGGGGCAGCATGTGGGCAAGAGGGGCTCACAAGAGCTCTGCCTGAGCGTGTGGGGGGCAGCACAAGGAGATGAGGGAGGCGAGACCTCTGTGAATATTTCGAGACGGTTCCCCCTCAGCAGGGCCTTCAGATGAGTGGGCAGGCCCCCCCCAAACCTCTGAGGCTCACCCGCCAGCTCCCGCAAGACACTTCCTGCACTGCCACTCCTGGGCTGCCTGGGGTTCTGGTTAGCACGGCTCAGGGGATGACTTTTTGGGGAGTGGGGTCTGGCAGGGCATTGGGGTATTATAGGGGCTGGAGGCCTTTGGGGCAAGAGGTGGAGTGACCTCTGCCACCCCTGACATTGTCCAACCGAGGAGAGGAGTCACTGAACCTCCAAGGAAGCAGACCAGAGCAGAAGGCATCTCGAGGTAGAAGGTCGGATTCCATGCAGTTCACACAACAGCAGAGGCTGAGTTCGGTAGGAAAATAGCATGGGGGGTCTTGGGTCAGTCCGGAGACATGGCAGGTGATGGGCTAGGGCATGCTGGATGGCAGGTCCACCGGGGGAGGCCTCAGGGGGGAGGAGGCAGCACCCAGCCAGGAGACACAGACACGGAAGCCCTGGGAATCGAGCCACAGAGGTGGTGGGCTTTGATCACAGGATTGCAGGGGGCCTGGGAGGAGCTGGGCCTCCAGGGTGAACCAGGCTTGTCAGTAGGGAAGGCAGCCCACGTGAGGTATGACCTGAGGAATGCTTCTGTTGGTGTCTACAGTTCCACGGCACAACTTAGCTCCTACTGGAGGATTTCTCGGGAACATCTGGCTTTCTGAGGGGCAGCTGTCAGGAGCAGCACACCCCACCCCAGAAGGCAGGCAGAGGTAGGGTGATCTCTGAAGGGTTCCCAGTGCAGGCTGTGGAGGAAGTACAGGTCAAGGGCACCTGCTGGTGGGAGGCCCAGGAGACAAGATGAGTGAAGTAACTCATTTCAAGCTGATGGGTGTGAGAATATGGATTTTTGTCAAGTTTCTTGTGTGTCTGTCTCCCCAGTGAAGGATCATTTGCCAAAGGATCATTTCTACAGACCCTGCATCACACCAGGCAGCAAGGGCCTCCCCTCCATGTGCCTGGGGGAGGGACGCTGAGCATGACCCTGGAGGCTAGTGCATAAGGCAGATCCAGTGGTGACTGCTTCCCGAGGTGGGAAGGCCGGTGGGATCTCAGGCACCTCGCAGACTCTCGTGCTGGTAAGGACTGGAGGCATTCCTTCCCTGCCCTGCACACGTGGAAGCTCTGGCACCCCACAAAGACATGTCTAGTCCTGGTGGGTGTTAGGGTGGGTGCGGGCTTGGGGCGGGGTCGTCTGACTTCCACCCACCCACCCTACGAAGGCTCCCTGCAGGACCCAAGTGGGAAAGCTGCAGCTGCCATTACCCAGACTCCCTCGAGGCCCAGCTGGGCTCAGGATGCAAATTAGATCCCATGATTTAGGTGCACTCAAGGGTCGGTTGGAAGGAGTGAGGTGGAGGACGTCTTGCACCTCTCAGCTATTCTCAGTTACCAGCTCTGTGGTGGTGGTTGTGACAGTGGCAGGAACTATGACAGTGACCGTGACACATCACGACCCTGGAGCCCGGGCCTCTCATCCTCCCAAGGATTATTTTTTGTAACTTTTCATTTTGACATAATTATGAATTCACAGTAGTTGCAAAGACAGTACTGGGAGGTCCTGCGTACCCTTCATCCAGTTCCCCCCAGTGGTTGCGTCTTCTGTAATTACAGTACAGTTCCAAAACCATGAACTTGACATTGGTGTACACTGTGTCTCATTTGAGCACCCATGGATTCATTAACCACCACGGCAATCAAGACACAGAACTGCCCCAGCACCGGGATGCTTTCCTTCCTGCCACCCCTCCCGCCACACCCACCCCTTCACTCTCTCCCACCCTCATCCGTGGCAGCCGCACATCTGGTCTCCATCTCTACAATTTTTATCATTTTGAGAATGGTATCTAAATGGAATCGCACAGCATGTAAATTTTTGAGAGTTGCTTTTTTCTCTTCCCTCCACACAACGCCCCTGAGATCCAGCCAAATTGTTGCTTTTACCAATAGTCTGTTCCTTTTTTATTACTGTTCCTTTTTATTAGTTAGTACCCCATGGTCCAGAGAGACCACAGTTTGTTTACTGTTTACTGAAGGACATCTGGGTCATCTCTCATTTTTGGCTAATACAATGAAAGCTGCTCTGAACATTCCTGTACTTGTTTTTGTGTGAACAGAATATTCTTTTTTTTTTTCCCCTGGGGCAAATGCCCAGGAGTGCAATTTCATGGTAATATGTTTAATTTCTTAAGAAACTGCCCAACTATTCCCAGGCTACCATTTCACTCTTCTCAGCAATGTAGATGAGCGATCTGGTTTCCCTGCATCTTTTCAGGCATTTGGTATCGTTCCTATTTCTTATTGTAGCTAAGGCAGGAGTAAGGCCTTCCTCCCACCAGCGCCTCTGCATTTCCACTGGGAAAATGGGAGTACGAGGAATTATTAACCTCGTGGTTATACAACAAACCTCCCCACCTCACATTTTCCACTAGTGGGAAAAAGGTAGTGTTACCAAACACAGCACGAGATTACAGCAATACAGCAAATACAGCACCCAAAAACCTGTTACATGAAATTCAAGTTGGAGTGTTTTTCTAAAGCTTAAGCAATCCTAGAAGAAGGCTGCCCTAGCTGAACCTGGGAAGTTCCAACAGTACAACATTCCAAAAGAGATTATTGGATTATTTCCACAGATGTAAGTGGCCAGAAAGCAACTACATCTTTTTGTGCTTTTTATTCCGCAAACAGGACAGGACTGTCTCAAATTCTAACATGCTGTGTGGCTTCTCGAGGTTTTCTCTGAGACATGAAACTTCTTTATGTAAGGGTCCTGGAGTTCCCACAGCCAGCAGGACTCCTGAGAGAGACCCCACAGTGCCTTTCTGCATGGGGATGCAGCCCTGGGCTCTGCCTCTGGCGCTGACCAGAGTGACCTGGCCAGGCTGTCACCGTCTTCCACACTGGGCTGGGAGAGCACAGGGCCACACCCCTGCAAAGAGGAAGGCAGCATGCCACTGCCTCCCTTCCACCCTCCCCACATCTGAGGAGGACTATTTGCAGACCTGACACTGCCCTCCTGTGCTGGAGGGTGGGGGCCCAGATGGAGGAGGGCCCCCCATCAGCTCAGGGGTACACGCTGTTGGGTAGCGCCTGGGGTGGGAGCAGTACTCCCGGAGCGCCTGACCACACAGGGATGGCCAAGCGGGGTGGACAGAGGCTACACAGCCGAGGGCTGAGGGACACCTCTGAGGGGTTTGCTTTGGGCTGGGGGGTCCATGTGTGCTCTCTTCCCAGGCCTCGCACTGGCCCGCTGCCCCCCCACCCACAGCCAGTGAGGTGCTCTCAGAGCTGACTCATGGGGTGCAGAGGTTGCCGCTGTCTATTGGGATGGGCTTCTGTCGGAGATGCTCCTGGGCACCCTAGATCCCAGCTCCCGGGCTCTCCTGCCATCATCGTCCCCCTGATTCTTTGATGCAGCTGTGTGAGGAAACTAATTTAAAACAAACAGTACCAACAAAATGGCATACCCTTAATGTTAAATGCAGCTCTTGTAACCCCTCTATGATAACAAAAAACAATTCTTGCCTGCTAAATTTCCAAAGTGCAAAAAACTGCAAATATGGGGATAATAGCAATAATGTACACCTTGTAAGGGTGTAGGGTATGAAGAAGTATGTATGCATGAAACCCATGAGACTGTACAGTGAAGATCTGTGCAAGTCACTACAAATTAACTAAACATCAATAAAAGAAACATGGTAACAAAGCAGCAGCAAAAGCAGAAACAGGTGTCAAAGGGCCTGAGCTGGGCTGCTGGCTGTGGATCCAGGCTCCTGCCCCTTAACAAATGCTGTGACCTGGAGAAAGGGTAGCAACTTCTTTGTGAGCCCATGCAGTGGAACGTTCTACAGTTAGCTAGAATCTTGTTTTCAAAGAATAACTTTCAGTGACACGGTAACGCGTTGTTACGATGTTAAGAGGAAAAAACAAAACAAAACCAAAAAAACCAGGACAAAGTTTCAAAGGAACACAAATTTGCAAAAGCAATATGGACACAGGCAGAAATCCATTGTTTCATGGAACAAACGAACCACTTGCGGAGCTCCTCGGCATTAGGGTCCACAAACACCCACGCTGAGCCTCTAGCCGTGGGCAAACCCTTGTGGGAGCACAGTACCTTCCAGAACACGACAGGGCGGCAGAGCTGGAGTTTGGGAGATGCGGCAGGCCTCATGGCTGGGGAGCTGGAGAAGACACACACTGCTTTCCAGAAGAGTTGCCGCTTGGGCCGAGTTTTTGTTTCTGTTTAACTGAGGTTAACAGTGACATACATAAAGGGCACTGATCTCAAGTGTGAGCGGATGCCTGGTGACATGGACGGTTGCCGTGCAACCACCAGCCAGATCAAGACATCCCCGGCCCGAGTTCCCGCCTGTCCAGCTCAGTCTCGACCCTTCCCAGGAGCGATTCAGACTTCTCCCGCCATAGGTTGGTTTACTTATTCCAGTGCTTCGTGTAAATGGAATCGTACAGTATATATTGTCACTCGGTATATATTTAATACTCTGTGAGATTTACAGTTGTGTGTACCCATACTTCATTCCTTTTTTTTTTTAATTGTTGTGTCCTGGGGCGCCTGGGTGGCTCAGCTGATTAAGCATCTGACTCCTACTTTCAGCTCAGGTCATGATCTCAGGGTCATGAGATTGAGCCCCGTGTGGGACTCTGTGCTCAGCATGGAGTCTGCTTGGGATTTTTTCTCTCTCCCCTCTTCCTCTCCTGCTCTCCCCCCCACCCATTTCATGCTCTCTAAAAAAATAAAATCTTTTAAAAAGAAGTTGTGTCTTTTGCATGAATATATCTGTTGGTGGAAACTGGTCTTGTTTCGCTTCTGGCTATTTAGAGCTGTATTTGACACATGTCTTTCAACGGCATTGGCACTCCTTTCTCTGGGGTATACATTTAGCAGTGGAATCGCTGAGACCCAGGGCAGCTGTGTTCAGCCTTAGCAGAAACCACCAAGGGGTTTCCAAGTAGTTTTACCCTCACCTCTCAATGTTAGAGACTTCCAACTGAACTGAATCTTCATGTGTGCATCAATGTGGCAGTCCGAGAAGGCAGTCGATGGAGGGTACAGTTAGGGACAAAGATATTCTGGGTAAAGGGAAGGTCACAGAGGCCCTGGTGACCACGAAAACATGCCATTCAGGTCTCCTGCTCTGAATCCACCACCGACAGGCACCGAGGCCATTCTTCCCAGACTGCCCTGGCCAGGGACCCGCTACTCATCTAACAGACCACTTCAGCTTGAGAACTGTCTAGCTTGGTGTGACAACCTTCCAGCTGAGCTACAGCCAGTGGCTCTCCCTCCTGGACCCCCTTTCCTGCTCTCCTTCCCAGGAGTCAGACTTGGAGCAGGGTCCCTGCTGATCTTGGATTAACGTTCTAGCTGTTTCTGCAGAAGCCGGGAGAACAGTGGAATGACAGGTGTGCCATTCAGCAAAGCTAACAGTACAAGTGACCTACAACACATGAGCTATGTCCACACTGGAAGCGTTCTGCAGGTACTAGTGTCTGGGCAGGCACCAGAGCAGCAGGCTCCACTGAGCACAGTGTCCGGGGGGCAGGGGGTGGAGGCGGTGGGAGGGTGGGCTGGGAACCATGTCTGTTGTTTGAAAGACAATGGCTCCCATGGGGCTTCTAAGCTGGTGGCCCCAACTACTGACAGGGATCTTTCCTCTGCACCCTCGAGCAGCAATTCGCAGAACAGAGGGAGAACGGCCCCTGGGCTGCCGTAAGGACTCCTCCTGCTAAAGAAAAGTGCTCCGTGCTATCTTGCTGAATTCCCTGCCCTCTGTCCTTCTAAGCGAACCGGATGCCCAGTTTGGTCTGCTGTGGTCCTGGCTGCCGGATGTCCTCTTTAGCGTAAGAGCGCCCCCTGGTGGGCAGTGCTCTTCTTCACCGCAGACCCGACCCTAGGCTTCCAGACTTGGACCCCACTTAGATGGGAAATGTGACATTCACCTGGCAAGTTGCAAGACGCAATGCAACCAGCCTGCCCCACTTCGCGGTCCTCGCCGCTTGCCCATCGCCACATCTCCTCGGTTGATAAGATGAAAGAGCACACGGGCACCGACTACCAGCCCTGCTTCCAACTACCCAATAAAAAGACTTGCCCAAGGTGTGCCTAGATGGGTCAGTCGGTTAAGCGTCTGCCTTCCACTCAGGTCATGATCCCAGGGTCCTGGGATTGAGTCCAGCATCGGGCTCCCTGCTCATGCTCTCTCTTGCTCTCTCTCTAAAAATAAATAAATAATATTAAATTAAAAAAAGACTTGACCAAGATGTTTATAATCATTTAATGAATGTTCCAAACACACCTTCACTGTGCTACAGGTGAATTTCATTATGATGGAAGCTGATGAACCACCCACCCAAGCAACCACATGATTTACTCACAGTTTCCAGACATCTGGATATCAACCAGAGAGATTCAGTAGGGTACAGCACGATTTCTCAGCCAGAGGCTCCTTAGGATTTTCACTTTCCTTCTTTCTCCTCCCACTGAGGACCTTCTCCAGGGTACGGAGGCTCAGGACAGGAGAAGGGGGTTGGGAGGGTCCCACTAACCAGCGCAAAAAGTGCTGGGAACGTCACACTCTAGACCCAGTAAGAAGACGCGGAGGCACATGGGGAAGGCCTGCTCGATAAATAAATAATTCCTGGAAGCCACCACAGGACACCAATGGGCCCCGGGACACTGCGCCAGGGGAGCCATCCCCGCCCCCCCACCACGGCCTGGCCACAGCACACTCGCTACGTGTTGCACACCAGCACATCTGCAAAGGGTCCTAGGAGGATCTTGTTGAAGATGCAGCGGACCCACACCAGGTAGGTTGTGAAGGGCTTGATGTTCTCGGTGAAGGTGTGGTTCTGCAGGGCTAGGATGTAAGGCACGTAAGTGTTCTCCCCCTGCTCCTGGAGCCACACCTCGTACTTCACCTCCCTCACCTTCAGGTACTTGAGGTTCCAGGGGATCTGCCAGGAGACGGTGAGGCGGGCCTCGGAGGCACCCTGCACGGACGCCTGGCACCGCGCCTCCCGAACCTTGCCTGGGTAGAGGCCGACGGTCCACTTCTGCTTCCGTGCCCCAGGCCGGCCCTTCACCACACGCCGCACGGTTTGGATGAGGGACGGGATATCCACCTTGGTGTCCTGGTAGATGCGGAAGAGCCACTCAGGGTTCCGGCAACACAGATGCCGCGGGACCTCACGGCTCTGGAGGATACGGGCCTGCTCAGCCCGGTCCAGGTGGGTGATGCCCCCCTGGTCCCAGGGCCGCTCGGGGTGCGTGACCGTGTTCTCTGGCATCGTGTTCCGCCAGGCTACGTACTGGAGGTCCATGCCGGGCAGCGTGGCCAGCGTCTTATAGGGGGTGTAGTGGTCCGGATTGACCGCATAGGGGAAGAGCTCGACCACGGTTGCCCCGCGGGGCAGGAAGAGGGCAGTGACCAGCTGGGCCCCGTGCATGCTGACCAGCATGGAAGCATTGCTGACCAGCCGCACGACGTCGGCGAAGGCATGGTCCTCCAGGGACACTGTCACCGTCTTCATCTGGAACTCCTGGGCCAGCGCCAGCAGCAGCTCTGCCTCATTCAGGATGAGTCTGTTCTGGGTGCGGCTGAAAACCAAAATGTACTCTTCGCCCAGGGGCGCCCCCGCGTGGCTCACGTTCAGCTTTTCCATCATGAACCGGGCAAACTGCCGGATCTCATTGCCGGACACAAGGATGTTAGCCTTGGGGCCCTGGGGCTGGACGAAGCCGTACTGGTACCAGGTGGTGATCTTAGAGAGACCCACAAACGCGTGGGAGAAGCACAGCAGCCGGCCCAGCGCCTTCAGCTGCGCCCGCAGGAGTGGCTGCTTGGGACTGAGCAGCCTGTACAGGTCAAAGTGAGCGCCCTCGCTCCAGCCCTCCATGAAGAAGAGCCGCGCCTCGTGCGCCAGCCCCGGGAACTGCCTCAGGGTGTAGAAGAGGGGCAGCAGGTCGTCGTGGAAGACGTGCATCAGGTTGTCGGGGTTGAAGCGGTTGGCGATAAGGGCCACGTCGGGCACGAACACGGGCTTGGGCATGAAGCGCAGGGCGGCGGCCGGCAGCTCCACGAAGTTGAAGTACTGGGTGTTGTGGTCCTCCACGGTGGACAGGTCGAGCAGCGCCGGCTGGAAGCGCCGGGAGCCCAGGTTGGGCAGCATGACCGAGGCGTTGCCGTGGAAGAAGATGAACTCCTCGGCCTCGTTGGAGTAGCAGAGCCACTTGAAGCGGCACACACGGTCGGTGTGCGTGCGGCCGCTGCACACCATCTGCGTGCCGCCCTCCGCCAGGAGCTGCAGGGCCTTGGGGTAGTCGATCCTGGGCGCGGGGGCGGGCTCCGGGGCGGGGCGGCCGGCGGCCAGCTCCTCCTCCAGCGCCGCCGCATGCTCGCGCAGCCGCACGTGCTTCCACAGCACAGCCGCCAGCACCGACACCAGGAGCGCGTTGAACACGGCCGACAGGTGCATCCTAACGCCGCCGTGGGACCCTAGCGCCAGCACAGCCCCCGGGCGGCGCCGCAGGCCTGGCGGGCTCTACCCATCCCCGCGGGCGCCCCTAGCGCCAGCACAAGCCTGCGGGAGACAAGGAAAGAGAAAGGTGTTGGCCCCATCTGTCCATCTGTCCGTCGGCAGCCACCTTGGGCTCCTGCCGGGCGCGGTGCCCGTACCGTCCCCGCTGATTCTCGCCCTCCCTTTCCCACCGCTCCCGTGGGGACGGTATACATCCCTGCGCCCTGCCTTGGGACTTGACCACATCACTTGCTTTGGCCAGTGAAATGTCAGCAGGGAAAACATCAGTGGCTTGAAGAGAGCTTGTGTGACTGGCCCGGCCTCCTTCATACCTAGGACGTTGCTGAGGGGCGAATGTGCGCAGCCTAACTTCCTGGTTCCAGGAGGAGGGACAGGAGTGCGGTGCGGAGCTGCTGCAGCCAAGCCCAGTCTAACCCAGCTGACCCCTGGTTGGCCAGTGACCGCGACACGCAAACAGCTGTGCTGGGCGAGTGCTCACTGTTGGATGTCACTGAAATCCTGTGGCTGTTTGGTATGAGGCACTGCTACAGGAAGAGCTAACCGATGGAGGATCTGTGACCAGAGGCCACAGGGAGGGTCCCCTCCAGGGGCCTGGCATTCCTGGTCCTGTGAGGTAAGGACTCTTCCTTACATGGGCACAGAGGCCAGGCTGTACATCAAGAGCCCAGTGTCCCCTTCTTAGGACCCATGGCACATATGCCCAGGGGATATGGGGGATCGTCTGCTCTTGCTTAAAGCTACTGTTTGGAAATCATGCCTGCTGTCTTTTAGATTCCCATGAAAGGATGGGTAGATATTTGCCCCATCCCTGGTCCAGTGAAGGAACTGTATCTGGATGGCACCATTGATTCGCAGGCCTGCAGAGAGGCCTGGCTGGGCTGGTGGCATTTGCTCCATTTTCCTGCACTAGCAGGAAAGCTAACATTCTTGCTCTGAAGCCCAGGACTGCTCAGATTTGAGAGGTCTCACCCTGTGCCCTCATAGGAGCTGCCCGGGGAACCCCTGGTGTCTGGCCAGCACTGCCCTGGGGTGGGACTGGAGCCACCCCTTTATTCCCTCGGGGCGAGCTTTGGACTCTTGGAATCTTGTAACTTCTCTCTCCCTGCAATCACAAAAATCAAAGTGCAATCCTGCCCAGAAAGAGACAGGGGCTTAGACTAGTTTCCCTCAGAAGCAGAATCGGAGACAAGGATTTGAGCCAAAATAGTTTGAGACATTATCCAAAGAAATCCCTGTAGGAGAGTGGGAGGGAGGAGTGACGCCAATACAGGCACATTAATGAGCAGGTCACTATTCTGAAGAGGCCGGGCTATTCGCCTTCCTATTCCTTTCCGGCACTAGCTGAAGGCCATTCCTGGGGGCACCATCTCTTCCAGTGACCCTCATCTAACGGTTCAGCATGCACACATTCATACATACGCACATGTTATACTGCTCCCCCAAAATTTCACGAAGAATTACTCTGACCAGCTATAATGTACTCCAGTGTTTCCTTTTCTAGTCCAGTATATTAAGTTTGTTCTAAAAAGGTGGGGGGGCATGTTCCTCTTAATTGAATTTACAACCTAACAGGGTTGGCAATTTGCTGTTAAAAAAAAATAAAGGTCTAAATTATCATATGATCTCCCTGGTATGAGAAAGTTGAGAGGCAACGTGGGGGGCTTGGGGGGTAGGAAAGGAATAAATGAAACAAGATGGGATCGGGAGGGAGACAAACCATAGGAGACTCTTAATCTCACAAAACAAACTGAGGGTTGCAGGGTGGGGAGGGAGAGGGCGGTTGGATTATGGACATCGGGGAGGGTGTGTGCTATGCTGAGTGAAGTGTGTAAACCTGGCCATTCACATACCTGTACCCCTGGGGCTAATAATACATTATATGTTAATAAAAAATATATTTAAAAAAAACTTTTTTTAAAGGTCTAGGGGTGCCTGGGTGAGTTAGTCAGTTAAGCATCTGACTCTTGATTTCAACTCAGGTCATAAGGGGTCATGAGGTCAAGCCCCGCATTGGGCTCCAAGCTGAGCATGGAGAAGATTCTCCCTCTCCCCCTGCTCCTCCCAGCTGTCCCCCTACCCCTGCACACATGCTCACTCGCTCTCTCTAAAACAAAAACAAAAATAAAAACTGGTCTAGACCACAGATTCTCAAACCTGGCTGGTTCCTGAAATCCCCAGAGGCCCTTGCTAAAACCAGATACTCGCAGGCAGGAATCCTGTAGGTTCTGACTCAGTAGGAGGTCTAGAGTACGGCTTAGGCATCTGCATCTTTTGTTCCTCTGTTTCGTTTCCCCGTCTTCTTGCAGATTATCTGAATTCCATTTTTAGGTACAGTGTTTCTGAGTGTATTTCTCAGTGCAGATGTTCTAGTGGTTTCTTTGGGCACCATACAATGTATATGCAACTTAGCAGCGTCTACTGGTAGTGACAGTCTACCTCTTGACTGATCTCCATCTGGGCTCTTTTACCCTCCTCCCTTATAATATAATTATCTTCAATGTTTCCTCTACATGCATCAAAATCCGCATTAGACAGTGCTCTAATTTTTATTTCAACTGTCAAGTGTAATCTCCTCAAGAGGGAAAGAAGAGTTCATAGTATTTACCCACATTTTTACTCTTCCTGTTCTTTCTTTGTCCCTGATGTTCCAGGTTTTCTTCTGTTACTTCTCCGGTGAACTTCCTTTGGTCATCATTTTAGGGAAATTTGCTGAGAGCAAATTCTCCCAGTGTTCCTTCAGGTGAAGAAAATGTCTTGATTTCCCCTTCTTTCCTACAGGATATTTTCACTGGGACAGAACTTCAGTGTGACAGTGCTTTCTCTCAGCACACAAACGCTTAGGCTGGGCAGCCTCCCTCCGGCCGCCATGTTTCTGAGGAGGAATCTACTGTACGTGAAGCGCCTTTTCCCTGGACGTAGTACGTCCTTCCTCTCGCATGGCCCTGGAGAATGTTCTTTTGTCTACTTTTCAGAAGCCTGGTCCACGAATGCTAAATTTTAAAAAAGTATTGTCCTAGAGATGTCTAACGTTCCGTTCAATTTGTTTTCCCAGTCTATTTTCTCTTCACGGTTTAAATTGGATAATTTCTACTGTTTGTTTTCATGTTCACCGGTTCTTTCTTCTGTCATCTCCATTCTTCTACTGGGTCCACCAGTGATTTTTTTTTTTTTTTTAATTTTGGTTATTACATTCTTCAGTTCTCAAATCTCCATTTAGTTCCTTCTATCTTCTCTTTCTTTGCTGAGACTTATCCCGGAGCTTATATTAGGTTTTCCATTTCAGCAGGTTTTTGCAAGAACCATGCTGGTGGGGAAGGGAGAGTGCTGACTCTATCGTTGGGTAGGGGGAAATCCACACTTCCTTGCTTGGCCTCCAGCAGCAGCACTCTGGCAGAGAAAGTGAGAGATGCGGCATAACCGCTGAGAAGGGGTGGAAATCTAGGCTCCTCAGTAGGGGTGTCTCATCACCCCCCACCACTGGGTGGGGGTCCAAGTCTAGGCTCCGGTGAAACCTCAAGGGATCTTTTTACCTCTGGGTTGTGGTAAAAGTCCAGGCTTCTCATCCAGCCCCATGGTGGGGGGCGGGGGTGGGGGGTACTTTGCTAAAGATGGGAGGTACCTGGTTGGTTACTGAAAAGCAAGGATGGATGTTTGTCTATTCAGCCTTTACTAAAGCTGGAAGGGAGGGGAGAAGCAGTTTTCCCTGGTGTTTTACAGGAATAGGGTACTATTGTCAAAAAGGTATTGTAAGGCTGCTCCTCTTCCAGTCCTTTGATGAGTGACAGTGAGCTTTCCCTGGGGCTTTTTCTGGTCTATGCTCACTGACATTTCTGGGTTGGTTTCTTTAGCATACAGTCTAGGATACACAGGAGGCAAAAAGAAAACCCAAGGAACTGACCACTGTGTTGTTCCACATTCTTCTCTCTACCTTTCAGTCTTATGTTTTATACCTAATGTCCTGTGTTTTTAGTCCTGTGTTTTAGTGCATGGTGCCTGGATAGGGATACACGTGTCCCCTCCGTTTTGACCAGAACCCAAAGTCTCATTGGTATCTGCTTTTTTACCAAGCTCCCAGGTGATACTGGGGTACAGCCACATTTGAGAAAAACCAAGAAGAGACTCTTAACCAAAGAAGCAGGCCATGAGTCCCCCTAGCCCCCAAAGTCTTAACTCATTCCAACATCAATTCAAAATTCTAAGTCCAAAGTCTCATCACCATGGGATATGGTGAACTAGGGCTTCCTGGAACCTTGGGTACCTAGTGGCTTGCAGACCTGATTCTTGGAGGCTGCCAAGGCTGGCGGTAGGCAACAAGGACATGAGGCCAGGGTCTTGGGCTTCCATTTACCTCCAAATAAAACCAAGCGCCTTTAATTTCTTCTATTTAGGGGTACTATAGTGGGTTGAATAATGCCCCCCAAATTCATGTCTACCCAGAACCTCAGAATATGATGTTATATGGAAATAGGGTCTTTACACATATAATTAGTTAAGGATTTTGAGACGAGATCGTAATCTAAATGAAGCTCTAAATCTAATGAAAGTGTCCCTATAAGAGGCAGAAAAAGACACTGAGGAACAGAGAAGATGGCCACATGAGGGCAAAGACAAGAGACTCAAATGATGTAGCTATAAACCAAAGTCTGCTTGGGATTACCAGGAGCCACCAGACACTAAGAAGATGCAAGAAAGGATTCTCTCCCACAGTTTTCAGAGGGGGCCTGGCCCTGTCAATATCTTTATTTTAGATTTTTAGCCTCCAGAACTGTGCAAGAATAAATTTCTGGCCTTTTAAGCCACCACATCTAGGGTTAAATGTGTTGTAGCAGCCCTAGGAAACTCATACGAGTGCCAAAAAAGTGTATTTAAAAATGGGGTTCTAGCGGAGCCTTCGATAGCTCAGTTGGTAGAGTGGAGGACTGTAAAAATGGGGTTCTTCACTCGCAGGAAGGAATTCCACCGTTAGTCAGGTTAACAACCACTAAGCAAGTCCTCATTTTAGAGAGGTGAAGAATTTG